CAACTGTATCGGGCCTGGGTTCAGCCACAGGGGCCCAGACGCAGGCTGAAGGGAGGCCGCCCACACGCAACACTGGCATATAGGGAAGCAGGGTGAGTGGGCAGGGGATCTTGGCCAGTGCGTGCAATGCCAGCATGCTGCGCGCGAGCTGCTGTGCTGCGCTAAGGCTGAGGGAGCAGGCTAGCGCTAAAGCGGTAGGGCGCTGCCTGTGTGCGCAGGGCACTGGCGGCCATAGCCGGGCTTCCTGAGGGCGCAGGGGAGGTGAGGGCGAAGGAGGTTCTTCGGAGGTGAAGGGCGCTGTGTGGGATAACAAGGGAGAGTGTGAGTGAAGGAGGAGACGTACCTGGTGGAGGTGGAGGTCGGCATTGGTGTTGACATCATCACTCGCTGGTCGTCAAGTTGTCTGGTTGCTTCATAGCTGTAGTTGTAGAGATAGGCTGTAGAGTAGGTAGGGCGCCTGGCGCCATTCGAGAAAGAGAGCTACATTGAGTTATGCTGTTGGTGTTGCCCTGTTGGGCTTGGACATTGACTCACGATTCTTCTGTATTGTTCTCAAATGGATGGTTACTCGGTTCCATTGTGCTATGTACTCTTGCTTTGACTACTTGGACTTCAGTGTGAATTTGCAATCTGGATTTCTGTGCTTCGTCCATATTCATGTTCCTTGCACCAGATATAATTGAGCCGAATTGAGAGCAGAAATCAGGGCGAAATGCACACCAAGTAGGGGACGAGGAATACACGGAAGTCTCTCGATAAAGAACGCCCTTCCACTGCCTCCAATCATCAAAGCAACGACAATGTACTACCACTACTGGCATCCTGAATGCCCATCCTACTTCCTAGCTCCTACTTGTCTTAGTTTTTTTTTACATGTCAGCAACGGTCCACGTGTCAGTCGCCCAGTGCCGCTTGAAGACTCTTCTGAGATTAATAATAATAAATTAATAATTCGATACCAGAGGATTCTCCCCCCCCCTTCCCCCCTCACACTTTGACCAGGCCAATGGCTTTTTCAAAGCAATTCGACGAAGAAGAAAGCAAGAGCTCACCGTTTACCCTTTTTCGTTGTCAGTGTTGTAGCATCCTGTGGCAAAGTGAGTGAGCATAGTATTTGAGCCGTCGCTGAACTCGGAAATGGGAGAACATGTGCCCTGTTACTTTCTGCATGAATAGGACGATGACCTGTTTTGATTTTTTCCCCCCCCCCTCCTCCTTAAACCAAATGAAATTCAATATATTTCAACACGTTCTGAATTTCACTCCAAGACTGGATGCTATGTTGTTTGCTTAAATGGTTACTTGCGGCTCCGCCAGGTATTGCAGGGGAAGCGGAGCGTCCTTAAGGTCTTCGGATCCGACTACCCAACACCAGATGGGACAGGGGTATGTTTGTGCACAGCCTCATTGTTTCTTTTTCTGAAGACATTCTCTCCCGTTTGAGTATTTAGCATGTTGCAGTCACCCTTGGATGCCTGCCTATTTTCTCTTCATCTCCTTATGCTCTCCCTCCCTCCCTCCCTCCATGCTGTTGCCCGTCTGCGAGTGCCTCCATCCCTCTTCCACCCCTCATCCATCCTCCTCCACCCGTCTTCCATCCCTCTTCAGTACCTCTTCGGTCCCTCTTCAATCTTGTCCCTTTCTCGTCCATTACTCGTCCTTTCCTGTAGGGTGCATCACATGTGAACGAGCAAGGATGCAAAAGTGTTATTGACAAATATCATGTGATGAGTCTTAAACCACTAGTACTCCCTGAAGTCGTCCCCGTTAACAAGCCATGATTTTAGGAAATGTACGGGCCACTACAGGAGCGCCCAAATTCATCCGACTAGAAACGTTTCTACTCTATTTTTTCGCATGACTGATAGCTGGGCCGAGTATCGGTGGTTTAAGGGCCTACTCACACTTGGGATGGAGGCAACCAACTGCCCCCTACACACACACACGTGCGCACGCACACACACACACACACACACACACACACACACACACACACACACACACACACACACACACACAGAAAAAAGAAGAAAAAGGAAAACCGAAAAAAGACCTCTCTCTATC